TTTTCAGTGAGAATTGAACAGGCAGCCCTTTCTGAAATTTGTCCTTAGCAAGCACACTTTACCCTGCCCTTGATGACACTTTTATATCTGCTCCATTTTTATCAAAATTCAAACCTCTATGGCTGTTCTCACAAACATAGTCTATGAGCACATGTGTCACATGAAGTATGTTCAGAAATTTTTGCACTGTTATTTATAGTACACAGGAGTTCACCAGGTGTTTGGAAAGCCTTCCTCCACTGAGGCACCTCACTACATATCTCTGAATTCTCATGATTTTGCCAACACCTGTCATGAGGTTGGAAATGCGAGAACATACCATAAATTTAGGCAATCCCTATAAATACAAAAAGTACTGTGATTTGAGGAACTATTTTCAAGATGATAATATGTAATCTACTAACAGGTGATTTCTTACTGTTATTTATTTATTTATTTTTTTTTTTTGTAGTTCTGTATTACGTGTACCCTTACACCGCTTTGGTTTGTTTTGTGTTTTTCTCTTTTTCCTCTTAAAAAAAAAGTACAAGTTTAAGGAATTCCCTTGTGGATATGAGGCCCTGCATTACATACATTTATAAACTTTAGAACATCAAGATTGCTCATCCCTGGAATGAGAGGAGAGACCAAGCTCAGTACTGCTGCTTCAGCTACAAAATGCATCAGAGTCAGGGGCTTCCCAAGCTCCTTCCTCTGCTCCCTATGGTGGAGGTGCCAGGGCAGTAGAAAATTTCAAAGATGATACTCCAGTCTGTTGCTATCATAGTTAATTCAGAATTCTGGGGACACAGAATCATCCTTGCTCCCAGCAGCAGAAAAAAGAGAAAGTGGACGACTCAAGGCCAATGCTAGAAGAACTCAGGAGCTGAAGCTAACTAAATACCTGAGTCTACAGACACCAGAACTGCTTCTAACCACTTGTAACTGGTTTCTCCCAATTCCACCCTATTTCTGGGCTCCCATCCAAAGCCTCACCATTCTGTGGCTAGATGGTCTCCCACATTCTTTGCTAATCAGGCCAAAGGACATTGAAACCAGTAAATGAGATCCAGTAAGCATTCTTCTCCCAGTTTTGTGTTCCAAACAGGTAAACAATGTCTACACACCGGAAGAGACCCAAGAGACCTCCTGCCATGGCTCGCCTGATTGGACATTTCATATAGCCCGCCTCTTCATCACTGATTGACTGCTGCTCTACTGCCCTCCTTCTGAGTCAAAAATAAACAGGGAAAGGAACTCCTTCCTGCAAGAGAGGACCCCAAATGATAGACCGTAGTCAGAGACTTCTGTAGCTGGTTGTCTTCAACAGTATTGATCTCAGCTACACAGAGGAATATGTGTACCACGTTATCTTACCTCAGCTTTTCATTTCCAAATCCATTTCATTTCAAGGATAAAAAGAAAAAAATGAACTAAAACTAAATTTCAAAACATGTGAATCAGGGGACAACACTGGTACATATATTGTACACTGTTATTCCGGATCATTCACCCAGAGCACTAGACATCTGTATTAAATATTCCTAAAAGTACTGTTTTGTGGAGCTGAGTTAGTTAATTATGAACAGCAATGAGACAGGGCTAGTTCCTCTGAGGAGCCCATGCAGAAACCCAGATACATTGCAACTATGGAAAAGATGGACAACTCCTGCTATGGGCTAAGCCTCAAGACAGAAGATCAACAAATTCATCCATATCCTAAGGACTGATATTCCACATAGTTCCCTAGCACTCTGAGGAAGTCAGGAGTCACCATTCAAAGAAATGTATCCTTATCCTAAAGACTGACATTCTAAATAGTTCCTATCATCCTGATGAATAAGGAGTCACCCTCCCAAACCCCAAGGGAAGATTCACTGCTGACTAAGAATGCCTGCTTTCTATGTGACTCCCTTCCCCCTTGTTCCCAATTTAATCAACATTACCTGAACTATTAAACTTATTGGCTACCATAGCTCTGTTCCATCTTATTCCCATCTGCATTGTGAGTTCCCAGTTTTCCCAACCTTCCACCTACCTCACTACATGATTTTACTCTATAAAAGTCCTTGGAAAAGACAGTCTTTGCCAACCCAGTCAGGACACATTTGCTTTCTCTCACACAGCTTTCTCTCTCCCAATAATTATATTATCTTAACTTCTGCTTTTTCTAAAATTCATTTTTTGACTTCAGAGAACACAAACTCATACCAGACATAGTAGACCTGGAGTTTCATTACCTTATAGCAATAATAGTGTAATTTTTTCTCTTTCTTGAAGTCAGAGAAAACAGTAGATGATTGTAATTCTAAATGTTGATCTCACTTCTTAAGAGACATTTGTATTGAAGGGCTTTATCCCTGCCTTTTAGTGCTGCTTCTGTTTTCTGAAAGTGAACTGATCTGTAGTTTTGTTTATGCTATCCACAGTGCATTATGGAAATGACTGGAAACTTTCCTTGTGAATTGTTTACCACTAACCATGGGAGAAGACACATAGCAAAAATTCTTTATTTTCATTTCTTAATTTAAACTTGAAGGATGTACTTTAAAGAGTTTTGCCCTAGAATAAATTACAGGACATCAAGGTGGTAGTTCATCAGGGTGAAAGGTCAAATCAGGGATGCTTACCTATATGGATACTTCCTCTTTTTTCCCTGAATACAACTTCCACATTCTTTTCCCAGGGCCCAAAAGAAAATTCCAATCAGCTCCTTACACGATATCAGTGTCATTGCCAGCACCAACAAATTTCATATATATCCTATAATCCCATAATCAGTCAGAAAAAAAGGCAAACACTTGGTGGCTTTAGGCTCCTCTCCACATTCTTTAAATAAAAAGGACACTTCTACTTTTTCTTATATTCTGTGAAAGAGTTTTGGCTCAGACAGGACTCTGTAGCCAGGAAAGCCTCAACCAGAAGCAGGAAGCCCCTATCTCCCTACCTCTAGGAATTTACCTGTGATGCCATCTTCCCGCCCCTGAAAATTTACCTATGGCGTCAAACCTAGGACCAATGGGCTACCTGTCCATTCCTAAAGTCCTCCTTAGGTTCCATCCCACACCGAGGCTACTTATATACCCCCACCCCACGTGTCCACCAGAGAGATCACTGGACTCCAGCGGTGGGGGTGGGGGCAGTCATCTCTCTCCATGTTCTCAGAATAAAGGCCTTTGTTTGTTTTATACTTCTCATCTTTTGGAAATATTTTTCAGCTTTTGGAAATAATACTATCATTCTGCTTCTCTATTGGGCATAAAATCCTACCAGTATTCATTTTTGTCTATGTATGAAACTAATTTACCTCCTCAGTAATTCACATGCTCTATGCCATGAGTATCCAATGGAAATTAATGCAGTGGGCTTTTGCTTCACTCTATCAGTGTCAATGCAGTGAGTTTACTCCTAAGATAAAAATAAATCTTCATGCAAGTTTCAAAATAGAAGTATGCATCAAAATATAGTCAAGGCCCTAGAGTCCTACAGACAGCTTTCAATAATATAATAGAAGCCTTCTAGAAACTGAAAAAATGCACAGTTTATCTAATTAAAAATTGTTCAAGCAGCCAATAATGTAGAAATTTTTCTGGAAAATTACAGGTAAACCTTCTTTTTTGTAAGATATAAACTAGTGCCATGGCAAAGTCTATTTCTTGAGAAATAATACAATCAAAGCAATTATTTTACACTTATAATGGCTGTTGTATACAATTTTAGGTATTGCCAGGACTATAATCACTGTGAGTTGTATTAATCACTTGAAACTGCAGGAAAAGGAACAAATTTCAGACATTATAAAAGTATAGTCATGTTAATTTGGCTCATGTTAATGGTATAGGTGTCTAGTGGTTGATTGATTGTGTCAACTTGAGACAGTTAGAAGCTAACTAAATGGGTTTGGCAATTCTACACCCAAGGATGTAGAAGAAGACCCACTCTAGGGTGAGTTATCACCTCGAGGTATAAAAGGAGAGGAGGAAAGACAAATCAGTGCCATTCTTGGGAGAAGCTCCAGTCTTCGCCTTTAGTTTGGACCTTGACTCCTGGCTTCCAGTACAGACTCTTCAGCTTCCCAGCATAGACTCTTCAGCTTTTCATCACAGAGCCTTTGGCCTTCTGTCGCAGACCCATCAGCCTGCTGGTGTGGACTTGCACAAGACACTAGGGTGAACTCCAGAGATCTTGGATTGAACCCTTCAGCCTCCAGTGCATAGACATCCTCTGCACACTTCCTCATCGGACTCTGAGACTGACTATTTGTAAGCCAATCTTGTTGTTTCTATATTTTCCGGGTTATATCTGTTCTCTCTAGTAAAACCCTGACCAATACAGATTTTGGTACCAAGAGTGGTCCTAGAGAAACAGAATTATAACAATGGCATTCTTTAATGGTGTTAGAGCTTCCTGGAGTTGGCTCTGCAATTTGGTGAGACCTGAAGACACCAAGGTCTCTGCTTCTACTTCTGTGGAATATACTGATAATCCTTGGCATGAACTGTTTAAACTAATAGGTCTCATAGATCCATTTGATTATCCTAATTCACCAATTGTGAGATGTCAAAAATTTAGTGACTCTGTACAAAACAATTTTGAGTATCTTTGGCACAGATTTAAGAGAAAAGCTGTGGGAATTGAAATCGCTGGAAGTGCCCTGAGGGTGGAATCACCCAAGGCTTTTGGAACTTGCAACCAGATTGCTTCAGATGCTGAGTGTAGAACTCTAAGACTTAATGTTTGCCCTGCTGGATGTTGGAATTGCTTTGTTTCAAATGCTTTCTGTTCTCCTGTTTTTAACTTTTGGAATGGTAATGTTTATCTTGTGCCTTTGCATTTCAGAAATGTTTAACCTTGTTTCTTTTGTACAGGGGCTTACAGTTAAGGGTTTGCCATAGATCTTGGAGGAGTCTTGGGACTTGGACTTTTGAGCAATGTTGAAGCTGTTAGGACTTTGGAAACTCTTGGAGGTGGACTAAATGTCTTTTGTATAAAGGATTTACATGAGTCCTGGGGGTCAGGGGTGGAATGTCATGGTTTATGTTTGTGTCCCCCAGGACTCATGAGTTTGCATTGTTCACATGTGATGGTTCATTGTATAGTGCTTGGATTGATGATGTCAGTGCTTAACCCACATAGGGGTGGAGCCAGGATGTGATGTAATGGCAGGAAGAAGGTGTGTTTTTCTCTTTGCTGGTTTGAGTTTGCTGTGGGTGGCCGACATGAACTGCGGTCCAGCCATGCCCGCCTGTCTTGGAGCCAACTGAGTGTGGACTGAAACCTCCAAAAACTGTAAGAAATAAACCTTTCCTTTCCCAACTTTGGGCTTCAGGTATTTTGTCTCAGCAACGAGTAAAAAGTAACTAAGACAAGGTGTATCAAACTCCTTACCTACTATATATCTGGTATGAGTTTGTGTTCTCTAAAATTGAAGAATGAATTTTAGGAATGACAGAGTTTAAGCATGGAATATATTTATTAGGAGAAGGAAAGATTCTGTCTGAGAGACAAGAAGGGTCTGAGTGGGTTGCCAAAGACTGTCTTTTTGAGGAACTTGTATAGAGTTAAATTATGAGGTTAGATGGGTCCAGGGTAGGGGAAAAATGGGAATCTGAAAGTTAAGCATAAGGCAGAGTAGAAAAGTGGTCAACCAATAAGGTTAATTACACAGGTAAAATTGATTAAATTGGGAGTGAATGGGAGAGCAAGTCATAGTAAGTGGGCAGGTTTAAGAGCAGAAACTCTTCTTGTAGAGGGTTGGGATGGTGACTCTTGAGTTCCTCAGGGTGATCAGAGAACTATTGGGATTGTCACTCCTTAGCACTTAGTTGTATTTAATTTAACTTTTGTTTTGAGATTTGGCCCACAGCAGGAGGTGATTGTCTCTTCCAATCCTGCAAGCAATCTGAACTTATTATCTGACTCCGTTGAGGGGCCAGCCCTGTTGTTATAGGCAGCTGAGTTAGTTAGAAATATATAGCCAAGGAGATAGCATCAGGTCCTAGAAGTGGCCAGCTCAGAAGCCCAGATACCTTGCAGCTATTGGGGAGACAGATACCTCCTGTTATGGGACAGGCCTCAAGAGAAAATACCAAGCAAATTCATCTATATCCTAAGAATTGATTTTCTAAATAGTTCCCTGTCACCCTGCTGAAGTCAGGAGTCACCCTCCCAATCCCATAGAGGAGAGTTACAGCTCTGTAAAATGCCTGCTTTGTATGACCTCGTTTCCCCATTTGTCTGCAGTGTAAATGATTTTGCCTGAATTATTAATTATATTGGCTAAACATAGCTCTGTCCAAAGTTATGCCCATCTGCCTTGTGAGTTCCCAATTTCCCCCACCTTAAACCCATCTCACCCCATGATTTATTCTATAAAGTCCCTAGAAGATACAGAGTCCTAGACAACCCACTTATGACCCCTCCTGTTCTCTTAGACAGAAACTTTCTGATAGGGTTTTCACTGTGGTAAAGGAGAGACTATAAAGTAAAAATGGCCATAATTCTAAGAAGGTAGAGAGTACCACATGACCACTAGACATCTGCCTTTTTCTGCTGGCTACGTGGTGAGGGAGATTATATCTACTTTTTGACTGGGGTGGTGCTTAAAGGTGGCATTGCTGGTGTGCCAGTAGCTGATAGGGACTCTTTTGATGCCACAGGTAAGTTGCCTAAGGGAGAGGTAAGTGACCTCAGGGTAAATGTCCCCTGGCCTGCTTCCCACTGCTGTAATATCCTATCTAGAGCAAAAACCTTTCACTTTTTTCTCTCAATAGTTATATTCTGCTCTTCACCTCCATTGTTCCTAAAATTCATTCTTCTATTTTATAGAACACAAACTCCTACCAGACACAGTAGGTCAGGAGTTTCATTCCATTATATCACTATCTGACTGCCTATATTTCTAACTAACGCAGATGCCTGTAACATTAAGAATTATTTATTTATTTCACTTAGCATAATTGTAGCTGATAAAATGTACTTAATGGATGTAGTGAAATATACGATAAAATTGAAAATATTATTAACACAGTTTCTCTGTCATCACCAATCATTTTCATCTTTCAGCTATGTGGGGAAATATAAAAGCAGCTCTCAGCAAATAGCAATGGTATAGTGCACAGTGTATTATTCACTGTAGTTACCATGTTATTTGTAAGTACTTCATAGATGACAAAAGAAACATTGAGCTTTTTAATGAACAACTATCAATTTCAATAGTTGTGCTCATAGCACTACATGGTGGTTGACAACTGTAGATTTTTCTTTGGTACCAGGGATTGAACTCCTGACCTTGTGCTTGCCAGGCAGGTGCTTTGACCACTGAGCTCAATACATAGTCTTATATATTTAGATTGTAAATGTGACTATTACCAATGTTTAATTTGCCATTGAAATATTTAATTAAAAATCTTGTTAATCTACATCTTCAATGAAATTATTTTCTTTCATTGCAGTTTAAAGCACTTTCTTTTTAGGTACTGGGGATCAAACTCACAACCTAGCACTTCTCAGGCAGGTGCTTATGCCTGCTGAGCTAAATCCAAGGTCCCATTAAATTATATTTTATTAAATGTATAAACATTACTTTATCCATTCAAATAGTATTGTTATTTTACTAGAGGAGGCCAAAGTAGAGAGGAATTGATATACAGTCAGAGAGGAAATGGAAACTCAAAGGAGTCAGTGTAAAAACCTAAAAACAACAATCCCTGCTAGAAGTACAACTGAAGAAAGCCAGAAGGTGAAGATGTAGTGACCATGTCTACATGCCTCCTGGAGAGAAAAACAATAGCTTGAAATGTACTACAGTTACCACCACCTCCTCCAGGAAGTCTAGAGAGGCATCGTTACCATACTCAATGACCAGAACAACTGGGTTATTGTTCCCACACAATCCCTTGGCTCATTTAACATAGTTTTTCTGGTTGACTTTTTCCAAGGTTCAATAATATTAGTTAAGCCACTACAAGTTTATAAGTTGATTGTAGTTTGAGACCCACACTGTACCCACATTGTGACTTTCCTGTAAAAATGACACTTGACAATAATTCTGTGCCTTAAACACTGAAGAACATTCCTGAAAATCCAGGGCTATTCTCTCTTTTTTCCCAGAAAACTTTCTGAACTTCTTTTGTTTTGTGACTTCATTCCTCAATGTTGTGAGTCAACAAACTTGGTGCATTTGACATCAAACAGGGCAGGATTATATTTGTCCTTTTTCAATTTGAATATGAAATATCTGCTAAAGGCCATGTTCCAAAGCCTTTGTGTGTAGCTACTTGGTCGCTCTGAGTTTAAGATTTCCATGAGGTTTTGGACCTCTTCATTCTAGTAAATTGCAGATTTATTGGTGGAAGGAGGTCACTGTTGTGCTGTAGCACTATAGGCACCATTTCTATCTCTGTATTTGTCACTGCTGCACAGATGCCACTACATGGCCAGCTTTCCTCGGCAACATCATTCCATAATTGCCAATTTAGATCAGCTTTCTTTCAGCTCTATTGTTTTTGTTTTCCTTTGATAGTCTTTCTCTCTCCCTTGGTTTTTTACATTTTTTATTTTTATTTTTGTTTTTAAAGACATAGTCTCACCTTGTAGTTCTGGCTGGCCTTTCACTCACTGTGTAGGTTAAATTGTCCTTGAATACATGACCATTATCCTGTTTCAGCCTCTTTAATGCTGTTGGAAAAGAGGTGGGCATCATAACACATGGTGTTTGTCATTTTTTCCCTCGTTTTCACTATTATTCTTTCATTCCAGGGGCACCGACATTTAATCCAGATGTTTGCTTGTGTCAGTAAAACTTTCTTCATGTTGAGGTGAGTTTGTGAACAACAGTACAGGAATTCAAGCATCCAAAGTATAAATTTGGAATTTAAGTAGCTGAACCACTTGTATACAGACATCTTCCCCATTTCAGAATCAAAACAAGTGGCCCTGAACTGGAAAGTTAAGCATTTTTAAAAGAGAGAATCCAAAAGACATTTGGAAACAATTTAACTCTTAAGTGAAATTTTATTTGACACCTGCATCCTGCTTCTTTTTTTAGCAGGTTCCTTTTTTTCTTTTGGTACAGCTGCTTTTGCTTTTCTCATGGAACTTATATCATGAGTAATTTTTAATTTCCCTGGGTGAAATACAGAGCACAAGATAGATGCAGGGCACAAGATGGCATCTTTTGTGTCAAGCTACAACACACCTGAGCTACAGTGTCAAGAATCAATATTTTCAAGGGTAAAAAGTACATAATGTTTGAATATTTCATAATTTGTGATATTCATTCTTATAATAAAGAATGATCTATAGTCAGGACAAGCTAAGCCTACCAGGTCTCTCCTTGCTTTCCACTGGTCTTTTCCTCATCATCCTTAAATACAATACTCTCTGAGTTCTTAATACTAATGCTCACATTTGATTGATATTCCTACCTGTGACATGCAGTAGTCTAGCCTGGCATCCCCAGCACATAAGAGATAGAAACTCATCTTGTGATTCCCTACACTCCAATGATGTTATGTGTTATATTAAACACTTTTCCTTAAAGGGAATGGCAGTTAATGAATACATGTGTATCTCATGACTGTTTCTTCATGTTTCAAATAACACCAGTAATTGTTTCAAGCATTAGGTGCACACCTGTAATCCCAGGACTTAAGAGGCTGAAGTAGGACAATCAGTTTGAATTTAAAGGACTAAGAAGTGAGTCCACAGTCAGCCTGAACTGCATAGGGAAATCCTGCCTCAAACAAATAGAAAATAATATCATATTATTGTGGATATCCTTGGGAAGAAGAACTCAACAGTTTGAAACTCTTAGGATCATACCTATTAGGTTTCATCTGGTGAGTATAAGAGACCATTAAAACTACCTTCAAGGATATGGAGAAAACTCAAAAAATCTTATTGCAAAATGTCATATAGATGTAATGCATTGCCCAACAAAATACCATTAGGATAGCTCACAAATGTAGAGAAAACATTTCTAAAATTCATTTGGAAACAGAAATGCTCTAGATCGCCAAAGTAATTGCTGGGCCACAAAGGCAAGTCTGGAAGCATCACAATTCCTGACTTGCTGTAATACTAGAAAGGTACTGTAAAAAATCAGCATAGTTCTGGCAGAAAAAACAGACCTGAGAATCGTCCAAAAAGACTAGAAAAAATGCAAATAGAACTACAAACACATTTTGCTACTTAGTCTTTGACAAAGGAGCCAAATAGGTTCAGTGGAAGAGAGATAGCCTCTTCAATAAATTGTGCTGAAGAAAATGACTTTCCTCATACTAAAGACTTAAACTGGACACATGTCTATCACCATGTAACAAATATTGTTAGGGCCGACGCCGCAGGGAAAGAGACCCCAAGGACTCAGCTCGTAGTGAGGAGTAAAAAGTTTATTACCATGCCCATGGGGTCCCCCAGGCAAACAAGTGCGGAGGGCCCCGAGGGGGAATTGTGTAGGGTTTTTAAGGGCGCAAACGGGAGGCAAGCGAGTTTACAGAAGCAGATTGCATTGGTTAATTTTGAGCAGCATAGGATTTGGCAGAAATTGATTGGAGGGGTTTGGGGTTGAGTAACCATGGAGACTGGGGGTCCTAGCCCAGTCACTATGTGCCCAGAACAGAACAGTTATTTGTCTTACTTATCTCGTTGAGACAGAACAACCTTGCAGGTGCATTCTTTCTTTTTTTTTTTTCTCTGCTCTGATAGCTCTGGGGAGTTAGGGAGTGAAACATTCTTTGCTGCTTTTTATAACTCGGGGAGGGGGTTATAGCAGGGGGGTCAACTCTCACATTCCCCCCTTTTCTTTTTTGATGACTTTTAATCTTAAAGGTCCTGTATTGGTAAGGGGTCATACTGTTGACGTAGCACCATAACCTTTACTTGAGAGATCTGAGCCCTCACAAACTGGGTTACTCGGTTAATGAGGTAAGGGGCTATAGCCATGACTATAATGAATCCAGCCAGGGGTCCCAGTAAAGGGAGAATATAGGGCAGGATTGATTCCCAGAAGGAGAACATTTTGGCTTTACTTGAAGGGGGCTCTCGAGATTTAATTTTTTTTCTTAGCTTTTTCATTGCATCTGTTTATAACCTTGTATGTGTCTTTAAAATCACAAGCTTTTAAGAACTTTGACATAGTTTATCAACTTGTTTACAACATAAGGCCCAGTAGGAGGATTAACAAAGGTCTTGTAGCTGTCATTAAAGCTGTTAACCAAAAGGAGAAAGAAAACCAACATTTAAATTTACTCTGTTTTATCATACAAGTAACAATTTTTAAGTCAGACAGAGGCCTCCTTGGGGTCTCTATAAAGGAGGAGAACACAAAATTATCAGTTATATTAGACAATCTTAAGCTTTAAAGTGTCTTTGGAAGAAATGACAGTTTACTTATTTGTAGGCTGACGGTCTTTTGAAGTTGGGACTTGTCTGCATTGGGAACGTTGAATCTAGGCAGGCTTTTAGCTATTTTGACAATCTATTGCGGCTCAAGAGATTTACGGTGAGGTCGCTCTCAAAAGATTTACGGTGAGGTCGCTTGTCTAGGTGTCTAGGCTCTTTAGCTGTAGTGGGCAGCAGCGAAGTAACCAGTGGATGGAAGTCACAGCTAGCTGAAAAGTCTGGGGAGACTTAATAAGATCTTGATTAGTTAAATTAGCTAATTTTTAGAAACCTCACATAAAACCTCAAAAGAGGAAATATCTGCAACATAGGGGGTGTATCACTCATGCAAAGGGGCAGAAGGAAAAGAGACTCACCCAGTTTTTGCCAGTTTTTAAGGCCATTAGTAATTATAGTCTTTAAAATCTAACTTATCTTTTTACCTTTTTTGAACTCTGAGGCTGGTAAGCCCAATCGAGTTTTTTTAATTGATCTGTAAAGCTTAGGTTAATTTGAGTTACTAGGCTATAAAAGCCAGGCCATTGTTGGACCCCACGGATAAAAAGGGAGACCAAATCAGAGAAACTGCTATCAGAGCTGACTCAGACTAAGTAGAAAACACTTATATTTTTGAAGTTTAGGCTTTTTATTTGTAAAATCTATTTTTTAGTGTTTTTAGGCATAGTCCCACGATAACCAGTGGTTTTTATTTGTTGCAGTACTTTTAGATTTACCAATTGGCACTGAGGGCATCTGAAGCTCACAGACTGGGCTAGCTTGATATTAGCCCCCGGAATCTCTTGGAAGTTGAGCTGCCAGATGTTGGTCTTTTTAAGTGCAAATGGGCTCTTGAGAGACATAACTGTTTTCATCAGAGAAGTAGGATGGAACTCTAGACAGTAGCTTATCAACTACATAAGGTCGATGTTCCGTGAGGTGATCAATGAGGCAACGAGGGGTCATCCTCAGGCAGCAAAGTAGCCGAGTTTGAAGCTGTTGTTTCTAGAAATAGTGCCTGATAATGTATGGCTCAGGAATTAGACATCCATCAGTCTGGTGGGGCCTTGATGAGAATCTCCAGTGAATAGGAGGAAACAATTAAGAGTTTGTGTCCAAAAGTCAATTTTTAAGCCTCCTTTATGAGGGGGCCATTGAAGAAATCACCGCAGACAGGGTGGCCATCTGGTTGCCACAGAACCAAGTCTCTTGGAAAGGTAGACAACAGGCCTCTGCCAGGGTCCCAAACTCTGGATCAGTCCTGTGGCTCTTAGAAATTTTGTACTTGTCTTTTAGTCACAGGGACTGGAATCCGTTAGATGGCTCACAACAACCAGTGTAGTCTTTTTCTGTGTAGACTGGTTCTGATAAGGTCGGGGGGGCTCGCATCAGAGCAGTTACTTTTTTTTTTTTTTTTGGCTGGCCTCTCTGATGTGATTGTTACTCTTTCAGCGGCCTGATCTGCCAAATTGTTTTCTCAGGTGAATAGCAGCAATCTGCTGACAGCCAGACTGCTGCCAGCAAATTTAGGATTTGTGGAGCCCTCTTTTTTTTTTTTTTTTTTTTTTTTAATCTTAGCTCTGGCCAAGGTTAAGAGACCTCGCTCTTAATAGATGGCTCTACGTATATGTATAGTAGCAAAAGCATATCTACTATCAGTATAGATGTTTACCCTCTTTTTTGTGGCTAGTTTTAGTACATCAGTCAAAGCAATGAGCTCCGCCTTTTGGGCAGAGGTGCCAGGCTCTAACCCTTTAACCCAGAGTACCTCCTTTTTGGTGGTCACTGTTGTCCCGGCCACTCATCTGTCTCTGCTGTTCTGGATGAAGCTGCTTCCATCGAACAGTTGTCGGCATTTTCCAAAAGCTGGTCAGTAAGATCAGCCTGTAGGTTCCGCTGCAGTTTGAGGATGTCAGCACACTCATGGAGAGGTGTCCTTTGTTCCTCCAGGTCATCATCAGGCATAAGGGTGGCTGGGTTTAAAGCTGAAGAAGTCTTGAATATCATTGACTCTGGGTCTAGAAGCAGGGCTTGACAGTAGAATTCTGGCATTGGAGAGCCTTTTTTTTTTTAGGAGGGGTTTTGATAAGAGTCTCTAAACTGTGAGAGGTTACCACAGAAATCACTTGCCCAAAGCGTGTTTCTTTGCTTTCTTAAGTAACATTGTCACAGTAGCTAGTATTTTAAGGTAGGGGGCCATACTCCTGTTACTGGATTAAGTCTTTTGGAGAGGTAGGCTATAGGCCTCTTTTAAGGGCCAATGTCCTGAGTTAGGACTCCTTTGGCAATGTCCCTGAGTTTATCTATGAACAAGATGAAAGGCTTTGTAACGTCAGGGAGTCCCAGGGCTGGGGCCTCTGTCAAGGCCCGCTTGAGCTGTTGGAAGGCCTGTTTATATTTATCAGTCCAGTTCAGCGAATTTTGAGTTTCTCCCTTA